CATACCTGTATGGTCTAGTGGTTTTCCCTACTTTCTTCAATTTAAGTCTGAATTTGGTGATAAAGAGTTCATGATCTGAGCCACATTCCGCTCCTGGTCTTGTTTTTGCTGACTGTATAGAGCTTCACCATCTTTGGCTGCAAAGAATATAATCAATCTGATTTCAGTGTTGACCATCTGGTGATGTCCATGTGTAGAGTCTTCTCTTATGTTGTTGGAAGAGGGTGTTTGCTATGACCAGTGTGTTCTCTTGGGAAAACTCTATTAGCCTTTGCCCTGCTTCATTCCGTACTCCAAGGCCAAATTTGCCTGTTACTCCAGGTGTTTGTTGATTTCCTACTTTTGCATTCCAGCCCCCTATAATGGAAAGAACATCCTTTTTGGGTGTTAGTTCTAAAAGGTCTTGTAGGTCTTCACAGAACCATTTAACTTCAGCTTCTTCAGCATTACTGTTTGGGGCATAGGCTTAGATTACCATGATATTGAATGGTTTGCCTTGGAAATGAACAGAGATCATTCTGTCATTTTGGAGATTGCATCCAAGTACTGCATTTCAGACTCTTTTGTTGACCATGATGGCTAATCCATTTCTTCTAAGGGATTCCTGCCCACAGTTGTAGATACAGTGGTCATCTGAGTTAAATTCACCCATTCTAGGCCATTTTAGTTCGCTGATTCCTATTATGTCAATGTTCACTCTTGCCATTTCCTGTTTGACCACTTCCAATTTGCCTTGATTCATGGACCTAACATTTCAGGTTCCTATGCAATATGGCTCTTTACAGCATCAGACCTTGCTTCTATCACCAGTCACATCCACAACTGCGTATTGTTTTTGCTTTGGCTCCATCCCTTTCTTCTTTCTGGAGTTATTTCTCCACTGATCTCCAGTAGCATACTGGGCACCTACCAACCTGGGGAGTTCCTCTTCAGTATCCTATCATTTTGACTTCTCATACTGCTCATGGGGTTCTCAAGGCAAGAATACCGAAGTGGTTTGAGATTCCCTTCTCCAGAGGACCACATTCCATCAGACCTCTCCACCAGGACCCAACCGTCTTGGGTGGCCCCACGCGGCATGGCTGAGTTTCACTGAGTTAGACAAGGCTGTGGTCCTGTGATCAGATTGGCTAGTTGTCTGTGATTATGGCTTCAGTGTGCCTGCCCTCTGATGCCCTCTGGCAACACCTACCGTCTTACTTGGGTTTCTCTTACCTTGGACGTGGGGTATCTCTTCACGGCTGCTCCAGCAAAGCGCAGCCGCAGCTCCTTACCTTGGACGAGGGGTATCTCCTTAGGGTTCCCCCTCCTGACCTTGAACGTGGAGCAGCTCCTCTCGGCCCTCCTGCAACCGCGCAGCTGCTGCTCCTTGGACGGGGCGGGGCGCAGAGGGGGTTGCTCCTCTGGGCCGCCGCCCCTAACTTCAGACGTGGGGTAGCTCCTTTCGGCCGCCGCCCCTGACCTCGGGCGCGGGGTAGCTCCTCTAGGCTGCTCCTGGGCCATCGCAGCCTGGCGCTCTCGATCGCCGCCCCTGACCTCCGACGAGGGGTAGCTCCTCTCGGCCGAGTTCCTGCGCGGTCCGTCGCAACCAGCGCACTTAATACCTTAGATTGTGTTAAATTGGTATTTTCTAGTGTATCCCCTGAAGAAGGGATAGGCATGTTCAAGCTTGATTTATTAAAGAGAAATAAAGTACAAAGCTCTCAGCATAGGCATTGAGAGGGGGGTAAAGAGTTCCCCTCTGTAGAGTTTGCTGCTTGCTGCTGCTAAGTCGCTTCAGTCGTGTCTGACTCTGTGCGACCCCATAGACGGCAGACCACCAGGCTTCCCCGTCTCTGGGATTCTCCAGGCAAGAACACTGGAGTGGGTTGTCATTTCCTTTGCCAATGTATGAAAATGAAAGTGAAGTCGCCCAGTCGTGTCCGACTCTTAGCGACCCCATGGACTGCAGCACACCAGGCCTCCCTGTCCATCACCAACTCCCGGAGTTTATTCAAAGTCGTGTCCATTGAGTCGGTGATGCCATCCAACCATCTCATCCTCTGTCGTCCCCTTCTCCTCCTGCCTTCAATCTTTCCCAGCATCAGCGTCTTTCCCAGTGAGTCAGTTCTTCACATCAGGTGGCCAAAGTATTGGAGTTTCAGCTTCAGCATCAGTCCTTCCAATGAATATTCAGGACTGATCTCCTTTAGGATGGACTGGTTGGATCTCCTTGCAGTCCAAGGGACTCTCAAGAGCCTTCTTCAACACCACAGTTCAAAAGCATCAATTCTTCGGCATTCAGCTTTCTTTATAGTCCAACTCTCAAATCCATTCATGACCACTGGAAAAACCATAGCCTTGACTAGACGGACCTTTGTTGGCAAAGTAATGTCTCTGCTTTTTAATGTGCTGTCTAGGTTGGTCATAACTTTCCTTCCAAGGGGTAAATGTCTTAATTTCATGGCTGCAGTCACCATCTGCAGTGATTTTGGAACCCAGGAAAATAAAGCCTGTCATTGTTTCCACTGTTTCCCCATCTATTTGCCATGAAGTGATGGGACCAGATGCCATGATCTTAGTTTTCTGAACGTTGAGCTTGAAGCCAACTTTTTCACTCTCCTCTTTCACTTTCATCAAGAGGTTCTTTAGTTCTTCGCTTTCTGCCTTAAGGGTGGTGTCATCTGCATATCTGGGATTATTGATATTTCTCCCAGCAATCTTGATTCCAGCTTGTGCTTCACCTAGCCCAGTGTTTTTGTTGATGTACTCTGTATATAATTTAAATAAGCAGGGTGATAATATACAGCCTTGATGTACTCCTTTCCCTATTTGGAACCAGTCTGTTGTTCCATGTCCAGTTCTAACTGTTGCTTCCTGACCTGCATACAGATTTCTCAAGAGGCAGGTCAGGTGGTCTGGTATTCCCATCTCTTGAAGAATTTTCCACAGTGTGTGGTGATCCACCTAGTCAGCGGCTTTGGTGTAGTCAGATTTTTTTTGGAACTCTCTTGATTTTTCGATAATCCAATGGATTATCTGTGTAGTTAGTACTCCATATATAATTAATTTGTACACATAAGAAGCAAGAGCTGACAACTGTTTAGATTTATAGCTTCAGGATTTATGGCTTTAGAAGTTCTCACTGTGTTGGCGACAAAAGTTCTACTTTCCCAACCGTTGATTTTGCCTAAACCTCTACTTTTGTTTAACCATAAAATGAGAGGGATATGGTTTGTTGACATCTGATCAAGAGTGAGGGTGAGTGAGAATTGAAGCGTTCTGACAGAAATGAGAAAATATTCGAGTCATTTTATGAAATGAGCATTTTTGAAATTAAGTAAATAGAATAAAGGAGTTTTTTGTGATGGGAAAAGATTGGTCAAAGATTTGTATGTTCATGGGCTTTTCTGGAATTTTCCTCCAGAGGTGGAGACTTTATCCTGTAAGATCACATACTCATTTTGGCTGGACCTTCTTTTCCAGTTTAACATTCCACATTTCCTCTTCCTGTCCCCCCTGCTCTGGAAATTTAAAATCTTTTGTTACTTACATTACTTCAGATGAAAGTTAGTGAACTCAGTCTGTTTTTTGAAAGATGTTGATTTGCGAAGGTCATTTGTACTTTATAGACTTATAAAAATAAGTAATGTAGCTTACAAGTTCAAAAACAATTTAATTACTAATTAGAACTATTTATAGGAATGAGATTTGAGAAGGAAAACTTTCAAATCGACGAAAGAAGACATAGGTGATTATTTATATAATCTTGCCTTTGTAAGTGTAATACCAGAGCAGAATCCATAAAGAAGATACACATATTTTTGGCTTCATAAAGGTGTTACTATGTCTAGGAAATTATGTATAATTTGAAAGACAGAGATACACTGAGAAAAATACATGTAGCATATGACAAAGGTTTAATATCCTTAATATTTAAAGGATGCTTACAGATCATGAGGGCAATCATGATAATAAACTCTATCTACAATAACAATAACAAATGTCAGGGAAAACATATGAAGTCTTCAGTTATCTTACTAGTTATCAAGCAAATGCAATATAAAACTTGATTATCATATTGATCCAAAAAAAAAAAAACCAAGAGATTATTTATTTCCACTGTTGATGAGTGGCCAGGGGAAATGAATTGTTCTATTATATACAAATCTGTCTAGAGCATAATTTGTCAAAACTTATCACAAAATCTTACATTTAAAAAAAAATACATGCTTTGGTTCAGTAATTATGCTTATAAGAATTTGTCCTGAAGGGGAGCAATCATGGATACAGCACAGAGATATTAGTGGAAGACATTCATTGTGAGGCTGTTTATAGTGTGGGGCAATTGAAACCATCCTGATTGTTTACTAATAAAGAATTGTTTACATGAATTGTTACAGATATATAGTAGAATACTAGGGATCCACTAGAAGTGATAATGTAGACTTTTTAATGGGAAGAAAGATACGATAAATTATATAATCAGTATACTTGACAGGGTTAAAACAGTATGTGTTTTAAATGCTCAGAACAAAGAAAGAATACATATAATAAACTGAAATGTTAACAGTGGTGTTTTCAGGTAATACAATTGCAAATAATTTTAGTTAGCTATATTTTCTATATTTTGAAAGTTCCCATTGTAAATGTGTATTATTTTGGCAGCAAAATGAAGGATATTATAAATGTGACAATGGTTTAAGTTACAATTCAGCTTTTTGTGCAGACGTGTACTGCAGACATATGTAATTGAAGGTTGAGGTAAAGAGTACTAGTGAAGTTCAGATTTGGGAAGAAATTTTGAAAAAGAAAATTTCGTAGTATTTTTTCACTTCTTCACATATGTGTGTATTTAAAGTCTCTGGATCCTGTAAAAAGCTTGCTAATGTTTGTAATGCTCATTTAATCATTTCAATTTTGCATTTATTCCTAGTCAAGGCAGAAAAAAGAGTATCATTTTTCTCCATATTTTTCATCTTGCAGGTGGGCAATTTTGGTGACATTGTCCAGTTCTCACAATGTATCATTCCTTGTCTGAAACTAGACACCCTCTGCAACCAGAAGAACAAGAAGTGGGCACTGACCCCTTGTCGAGTTACTCAAGCAAGCCTGGAGGTAAGTTTCCTTTGGGGATCGCTGCTGAGCTGCTGGGAACGTGGCAGAGGGCTTCCAGCTAGCTAGTCCCTGCACTGGATGTCTTCCTCTACATGAGGCTGAAAAGAACTTGAAGACCATTTTGCTGGATAGATATGGAGCACTCTGACACTGAGTGTCAACTTTTATTTATAGACAGACACATTAGCCATAGCCAGTCTTTAATGCACTGTCCTTCTTAAAAAAACATAATCATAAACTTAAACACTTCACTGCTTCAGCGTAAGAATTTTGAAATACAAAATGGTCTTTGTCAAACATCTTTTAATGAAGTCTAAACTTTTGGTGTTCATTTTTCTGGGGATTTTTTCTTCTTTCTTTCAGCAAGTTGAGATTAATATAGGGTAAAAGACTTGCCTGATTCTTCTTTTTTTTAATAATTGAAATTTGTGATTTTCTTTTAAATATCTATGTATGGAAATTGTTAAGAGATCAACTATGTTTGGGCCTACCCTAGAAAAATGTATTAAATGTGTATGTATTGGAGCTTTATATTATTTTCTCAATATTAATGATAACATAGTATATTATAAGAAAACAGGAAGTTTGTGACAATTCCTGAAGCTTTATCTTTATTTCAACTAAATATTTGCTGAAGTTGATTCATGATTCAAGTAACTACTTGTAATTTTTCACTCATACATATACCAGGATTGTAAGATCTATTTTAAGAAATTATAATTAGTCATTCACATATACTTCAAATACAGGTTTTTTTTCTTCCTGTATTGATGTAAAGGTCTGCATTAAGTAATGTTTTGGGAATTAGAAAAAGTTGATTCCTCAATGTAACTATTTCTTTAGTACACAAGCTCTTGAGTTTATGGAGTGTGTATATGTTTTTTTGTCCATCTTTAATACATTCCACATCATACAAATGCCCTTGTTTTTAGTGAAAATAGTGTACAGCTTGTTTGCATGATTTTATTTTTATATTTGCTTTTATTTAGACTGCTATTTAAGGTTTTGATAGTATGAAAAAATGTTAGTGTTTAATATCAGCATTTAAAGAATTTTAGTGAGAATTTAGTGAGAATGATACAGTCATCCCTAGTGATGCTTTTTTTCTTAAATGTCATACCTTAAGAAGTACTCTTAATTAGATAAGTCAGATTATTCTGCAGTCACTTCCTTAAGTGCATATTTTAAAAGTGAATATATATTTGTGTTATCAATATATAACACCAACATCAATATATTTTCACCAAAATGTTCTGGTTTATATGCTTATTTTTGAATAAACATGTTTTTTTCTTAAGTGTATATTTTTCTCTGGACTAGTTCATTAAATGTTGAGGTTTGTTTTTTAAAAACTGGTAAGAAAACATTTTAAATTAATTTTATCCTTTATTGTTTGCAGGAATAAGGTGTTACCTTTACTGAAAAGGCTTTTCGTTTATATCCTAGCCAACATTTCTATGACATACAAAGTTATTAGGACTGAATTGATGTTTAAAAGTGCCATTAATTCATTTACCCCAAATGTTCATTAACAATGTAAATGTATGCTGATGTTCTGTGAGACAAGGAAGTGACTAATGACTCTTCCAACTAACAACACTTAGCATGAATAGAAACTTTAGATAGCTAATCTTGAAGTAATCAAGACCCTCATTCAGCTTGGCATCTCTGTATGCTCTAAAACAGCTGTCAACTGTTAAAAATATATACAAAACACACACGCGCGCAGGCACACGCGGAGGAAAGAAATGTAAATGCCTAGTTCTTCAGAGCCGTGCAGGTTACTAACGGGAGTGGGCTTTGTGCATTGTGTATGTAAATATTTTACATAAAGCATCTATCTCATCTTAGGTTTTCTTTTTGCAGAAAACCGTGTGCTGCATTTTAATGGGGTTGTCATATTACTTGAAAAATCATCACCTTTTTTGTATGTTGGTTTATTTTAATATATGTCTTTCATGGGGTTCTCCACATATTTGAAGCCATTTACACATTTTTCCCAAAAGGGAATTTGCAGCAACTAGATGACTCATTTTGTAAATAGTCAGACACTGGACTTGATCAGTGTTTTCCCTGTGTAGAAACCATGTTTTTTGTTGACTTGAAAAAAATTCCTTTTGCATATTCCAAAAGTAAACAAATAAGTCTTTAATTTCTGAAACCTGAGTTTTTATGTTTGCAGAAATATAGTACATTACTGAGTTAAATGGTTCTGAGTATCCTGGAAAGGATTAGCAAAAATAGCCACATAACAGATAAGACAGAGAGAGAGTTACATATCATTGGTTTACTTTCATGGATGTTTGAGGGACGTGAGTGAGGGCAGAAAAAAAGAACTATTTGGATATATACATGCAAAATCTTAGGACACATTTTCCATGTTATTTAAGCTTTTAAATGCCTGAATTTCTCTTTCAAATTGAATTCACCACAGAAAGTATGACATTTTCTCTTTTGGATTTGGTTATGTACCAAAATTATCATCTTAAATTTCAAGGTCTTTGATCAAACGGTATTACTAATTGACAAGTTACCTATAATTCAGTTTAAACCATAGAAAAGCAAAACTTATTTTTTCAACTATTCATGTTTATTCAGTCCTAGCATGTAACTTTTATTGATTTAATTAAATGAAAAAGTAATCATCTCATTTTAAACTAAAAACAACATGAAGAGTTAGGGAAACTTAACCTATTATTAATAATAAAATAACATTATCAGAATCACTAGTGTTTTTTTCCAAGCTTATAAGTGATTGGAATGTTACTCATGATGAGAAAACATTTTCCTCTATTAGGTCTCTTTTGAGAATTGCAATTTGTTATGTATAGGTAGAGTTTTTAGCTCTAATTTTATATCCCTTCTTACTTAACAGCTTTTATAGTATTCAGATAATTACTTAAGGTAATACCTTTTTATGTAATATCTGTTTCAAAGCTTTCTTTTTTGCTCATGCATAAAATACTTAGTAACCTACTTAAAAATTATCTAAGACATTCGGAATATCCTGCCTACTTCATTTTTGCCTTTTACAATTTTTTTGTCCCAAGTCTTCCTTTCTTTTGGTTTATTATATCATAGAATTTCATGGCTGGAAACAGATGCCTGGTTTTATCGATGGACAAATTGGCCGTAATTGAATTAGTGTACTGTAGTTGATGCGAGAAAACGACGAGGTCCTGTCACCATCTGTAGTGGGGCTCTCCATGCCCTAGAAGTACCCCTGAACTCGGGTTTGGGTGCTTGCCTCTCAGCAAGTCAGCAGTCGCGTGACGTGGGCTGCCCGTCCAGGGAGAGGGTGGGCTAGTGTCCAGAGCTGACCCCAAAGGTTCTGCTAGGCCGTGAAAGTTTCTAAAGGAAAAGCAGGGAGGTCAGGGTCAGACTCGTCACCGTCCTCCATGTGGGCAGGCTTGCTGATGCCTCATCATCTTTCTTTAGATGCACTTCTCCTCACTCAGTTTTTGCTTGTACGATTACTGAAGGGGAAGCTGGGAAAGAGATCTGGCAGTCTGTTATCTCCTTATTCTTCATTTCTTCTTTGATCTGAAAAGTGCCAACATGTTAGGCAAAATATTATGTAATCAAAATGTTTTAAATGTGTGCTTGGGCCAGAGGTTAGGTAAAATAGCTTTATTAAAGTGACAAGAGTGGTCCCTTGCAGAGAGCTACTTGCTACAATAAACTACCTGTAAAAATGCTGCTTACACATCACCCCTCTCAGACATCATTCCATTTCTGTGGGATTATGAACAAAGGTCCATTTTCTGTAACTTCTTAACGCTGATACATAGGGTGCTGTATTCTTAACATGGAGGATGCTGACAGCCTGTAGCATCTCTTTGCTGATAGTTTTAGTTGCCTGGCTATGTACATGGGCAGAATAAGCCACAATTATTTTGATGTCCACAAAGATGCGCATACAGTTTATAGTGTTAATCCTCCTCTCTGTAAGGCCAGGTCTTATCCTTGTGCTAGTCCTGGATTCAGGATTGCTCAGGATGGAGCAGCCTGTGTCTTGACTACAGTTGGGTCACCATGCGGTTAGCTTTCCCCTCTGATAGCAGTTACAGTACCTGTAAAACCACTCGGGAGTGTTCATCAGGCCCTGAAAGATCCTGTGCCTCTGTCGTCCTAGTCATCAGCTGCTTGAACCGACTCTTTTGTGACTCAGGGAGACTTGGGACATTTCAGTTATTCTACAAACAAGAGGCAGTGGGTGAGGGGGGAACCTTGGCTTGGGACGGGACTGGCAGGGTTCTGCTTGGTTTCAGATGGAGTCTGGAGCTGAGATGGATTTGTACAGAGGGGCAGGGTGTTCTTATTCTCACTGTAATAGCAGGAAGGATGGAGAAACGGTGTTTCGGTGTAGTCCATTCATCTGTTTGATGGCAGAGAGTGCAATAAAGTATCACTGATATTTTAATATCTTTCTTGATATCTTAGGGTGAGGTAATTTGCTGATAGTGAGTGATAAGATGAAGCATTTGAAGATTTGGGGAGAGTAAAAAAGGCTAGATTGAGGTGGTAAAAAATATATAACCTTGGGGGGCCAAGGTGAGTTTAAACATCATAATTTATAGGTGATGCAAACTTGTAAATGTGTGTGATTGCATCCAGCAGATTTTAGTGCCTAGGACTTAGCCACAATGAAAAGCAGATGGTTGCTTTGTCAGGGGAGTATAACAGGTAAACAGTAGGTAAGGAAGTTGATGGTGGAAGAATTCATGGATGGATTTGAGAATAGAAGGAAGTTTGCTGTTACGGAAAGAGCTATGAGAGGGCAGAGTAGAAAGTTTGCGGGGGGGGGGGGGCGGTGAGTTAGGAGAGGCGCAGTCAAGGGTTGCAGGGCAGTTGGGAGTCACAGAAGGGGTGGGACAGCAGGTAAGGCGGTGTGACCATGGTGATTCAGTGGAGCAGTGTTCAGTGACAGCCAGCACACCAGCTCAGCACCTTCGTTAGTTCTCTGTGGTAGTTTAGGTCTCATTGATTTGGATAGGTTT